ATGGTTTAAAATTTTTTTGTTTGTTTCTGGAGGCGGAAGGTCAATTTTTTATATTCTCAGGATTGATTTCCTTGGAGAGGAAGCCAGACAAAAAATTTGTCCTTGAAGACAATATTGAAAGCCAATGGGTGTCTGGGGATGGCCGTTCTTTCCATATTTCTGTAAGTAAGTCATGAGTTTTGTTTAACTAGAATTTTAATCAACCTATGTCAACATGATTGCTTGGGAAAAGGTTTGTTTCTGATGACACTAGGATATAATAAATGGGATACTTTCCTTTGTTCTTTGGATAATAAATTCCCAGTTCTATACCCAGAATAAATGCTGGAAATATACTAAATAGAAGAACATTAAAGGTAACTTATGCACTTTACTGGTCATAAAATGGTCTGCTTATTCAAAATAACTAATGCTCTGGGAGAATTGTGTGTATTATATTTTTAAAAGGTGATGATGACAGAGGCCATAGAGCTCTGAAGAACAAACTAGGAGAATGAATGCTGATCACCTAATATAACCTTACACTTGGGAGCTCAAGGATGACAACACATACATTAGAACTGAGCTGTCTGGCAACAGTATAAGAAACCTGTATACATCAAAGCATAATTCACTGGGATGAACTTGTCATTGATTTTGCACCTCTCTTCTAGTTCTTCCCTCTTTGAGTTCTTTATAAACAAAGACTAAGACCTTTCCCTTTTCCGCAATAGGCATAGTTCAGTAATGACAGCTCTCCTGAAGAGTGGCACAACAACCTGAATAACCTCTCAGTTAAGTTCCTTTTGCCTGAATTCACTAAAAGGCAGGGGTTAGTGTATTCATTGAAGGGAAGCACCAAGGGAAGACAGTCTTGACAAGGTTGGGGTGCAAAGGAACCCCAAACAAAACTAAGAATGGAGAATTGAGAGTTTCACAGGAGTCTATTTTGTTAAATGCCATCTGCATCACAATTTAACTCAAGATACCTTTGATTTTTCTTTTGGTTTTTGGCATCTCCACAATGCTTACTATGTAGACAGGGGTACCCAACCTCAGAAATCACTAAGTAGTCCAAAGCAGCAGTCTCAGTCCTGGATTGGAGGTAGTGGGCATTTGGCTAATTTTGTTATGATAAGAATATCAATACTCGAAAAATGATTGGGCTTAGCTCCTGCTAGTTCTATGTAGATTAGTTTAATTCCAGGAAAACAAAAAATACCCTTAAAAAGATGAGGAAAAGAAGAAAAAAAATACAACTTACGAAATCATGTGCACTGAGGCCATGGAGTAAAGGATGAACAATATGATTTCTGTTTGTATTAATGGGATTTATATTGTCACACCTCTGCACGATATCTCTGGTAGGGTAGGTTGCCTGTGCTTGGGAATATTCTAATTTGAGGGAGAACATGATATTTGCCAGATATTACCTATTAAAAGCAGAGTGCTTTCCCTGCATCCAGTGTACTTGAATTTAACCCCCTTTTTATCTTTGGTTTACTAATTTTTAAAAGTTCAGGAGAAAAGTGTTACCTGCAAGATGGCTCCAGCATATTAATTGAATGTTCACACTTCCCATGCAGGCAAAAGCCATTGTAATGTTCTGGACAAGGAATGTAGAGTCCTCTGGCACTTTCTTCTAATTTGTCAGGATTCTCTGTGAACACAGATAACAAAGAAGCCCCCTATAAATATGTTTTTAAGGTATTCTAAGATCAAGCAACATGGACTAAGAAGTAAAGCTACAGGAAAGACTTTTTAAAAGGGCAAGAATAAAACAAGCTCTTCTTACGAAAAGGTGTATACGTGGCGGGGGGAGGGGGAAGAATTGAAATAATGTTGATCCTCCCAGCTGTGTTTGGTGAAGAAGATGTGAAATTATCCAGTACTTTTCATGCTTTTATGCAATCTCCCACATCTTTAACAGCCAGTGATGTATCTATGAGTTGTCAGACAGCTTTAATTTGACTTAAAGAGACTGTACATTGATCATAAAATAACCCATGAAAAGAGCCCATTTTTCTGCCTCTCTAGAGCCCAACATAATGTCCCTAAGATTAAATTGCTTGTGATGCCTTGATACTTTCTAACTATGGGAGCTTGAAAGGCAAAAGGAGGAGGAGGCTATTCAATTGTTGTAAATAAATGTTTCTCAAACTAAATGAAAATTTCAATAAACGATTCTCTCAACCTTATGCATCAAGTGAGTTGCTTTAGGGATTGCTAGAATCCCTGCATTTTTTTTTTTTACTAAAAACAAAGATGAATCTTCAAGATTTATTTAAATAGCACTCATATTGGCATTTGCATGGCATATGGTGAAGGCTAATATTAAATATATTTTAATGTTTTTAGTTTGGCACACATATAAATTGCTGTGTCAAATATAAACTTATGAGAAAGAAAAAATAGTCTGATCTAAAATGACCCATCTAAAGTATATGCTACTGCTTTTTATTAAAAACACTCCAGTAACTCTGAAATGGATGTAATGGAACAATGATGAGTTTTGTTTGGTCACTCTTACTTTTGTAGAGATTTGGAACTTTATTTCCCCCTCTCGAGTGCTGATTCTGTAACAATAAGGTTTCACCTTCACTGACATTGCTAAATACCTCACACAGTGAGAGTTTAGTGTAATAAATCTGGAATACCGCATTCCTGAAGACCAAGCCCAACACATTAGAGAACCATATCTTTTCTCCATCTCAACAAAGGACCTCTGTCCTATCTCATAATTGACAAACTGGCCAGCAGTGATTAGGAGATAGAATAAATTACTGTATTTCTAAAATAAATGATTTCCACACATAGGGTTATAATTTTTCTACAGTGTGTACATGTAATTTCCATTAGCATTAATGAGAGAGGAGCACATTCATCAAAGGAGGGAAGATGCCTCCCTCAGTCAGTGATTCGGGTGAACCGAACATTACTTGTGCTTAAGAGGATGTATGCGACATCTAGACATTTTAATGTCTAAGTACCATCTGCAATATTTTTATGCCCATTTTGTAAAGCATTAAGCTGTTAATTACACTTGGTAAATATATTCAGTGCTTTCTTGTATAGGGAATTTTGTGTACACATAGTAGTACGTGTACTGTGGTGGGTGAATTTCCAACACTCAGACCTGAATATGTGCCTTTGTTAAATTTAATACAAATATATTTATCTTGGAGAAGCTTTTCAGTGTGTGTGTGTGTGTGTGTGTGTGTGTCTGTGTGTGTGTGCATGTGCATGCATGTGTGTGTGTATATGTATGTATGCTGAAGGATGTACTCATATCAGTGAAATATTGGATCCATCAGAGTATAAAATACCAGCGACCTAGAAAATAGGCAATACTAATAATGTAATGAAAAAAGCACTTTGCCCTAATGGAGAATAGCAATGCAATGTGAAGTTCCAAGTCATTCCCATTAGGCATGTATCCAAACTTCTGTTTTACAGTGAAGAACATAGAAACTGCTAGAAATTAGATATTGGGACATTTGGCAAATGAATGAGGCTCAAGTAAAAAAAATAAATATAAATATACATGCACACAAACATACATGCTTCCAACCCCCACCACCCCATCCCCTCTGCCCTAGTCCTTGGCATGGGTATAGGTAGAAAGAATACAAGAATATCAATGGAAATTGCTATTTGAAGTGAAAGTTACAGAGAAAGAAAAAATTAAGTTTCTATGTTCTCCTGCCTCATTCTGTCCCTTTAGGATGGACTCAAATGTTTCTTCATTGGTCTCTTCTTTTGCTTTTTGATCTACTTGTGAGCTCTATGATGTTGCAGCTGCCTATAGCAAATTGGAGCAGTACATGACAAGCTAATCTGTTGGAATAATACCCAATGAATTAAGAAGGTAGGTATTAACCTAGGGTCACTGAACTTAATTTTTTTTTTGAAAATTAGAATATTTTAAAAATATTTTGATAATTGTTATATTTTGTAATCTATTTATTATTGTTGCCTAATGTAATCTATTTATGTAATTTATTTCATACATTTCAAAACATTATTCTGAGAATGGGCCCTGGGCTTCACCAGACTGCCAAAGGAGCTCATAACACAAAATAAGTTAAGAACCCAAAACCACTGACATGCCAGGACCACCCTGGAAAGGCTCATACCCATGAACCTCCTAATGAGCAGGCTGAAGTTGGCTGTCAGCTTATTGCTGCACAGTCAGTGGTCACAATGGTCCAACTGTGCACAAGCTGTGGAAGAGAAGCTTTAGCACTGGGGCCATGTCTGCCCCATGGCTGAAGTAATGAACCAGCAATGATTCTCACTTGGATCTTCCCTTACAAGATATCATTTACCATTTCCACTCAATGTGGGGGTAACCATTCAGTGCTTTCACACACCTGCAGATATAGGACTTTTTAAAATAACATTTCAAGTCTTACAATATGATTTCAGTCTTCTTATTCTTCAAACATATATAATTAGTGCTTTTCCCCCCTTGCATTTGGCATTTGCCAAAAATTTCAATTTTTTTTTTTAGCACAAAGATGTATAGCTCAAAAGCCAATTTTTTAGGCTATTTTCAGCTTTAACTCTTTTCCTATACCATGGTTTTTCAGGGTGTTTTTCATTTCTTATCCTTTCCCCACATTAGAACTGAATAAGAAACATATTATGAGAGAGAATGTCATAGTGTGGCCATAGCTGAATGCTTTTATGGGGTCCAGCATCCCTCCTGGTTCACCACATGGAAGAAGAAAATCTCTTCAGAACAGCTGTTAATCAACTGAGCTCAGGCAAATGGATTTGGTAGCACTCTGAATTGTGGATTATAGGGTAATTTCCAACAAAAAAATAGAAAAAATGAGTATAAACATGACAAGTTAGATAATGAAGAATGCCTATCTTTGTAGTGATATTGAGAGTAGGCCAACTAAACAACTAAGCATTGGTTGAAACCTTAAATATTGCCACTTTGAGAGAAAAGTTTTAGAAACAAGATCATGTTATAATGCTAACTTACAAACAGGATAAGTGTATATGAGCCAGGAAGAACAATTAGAAGGCTATGGCAATAGTCTAGGGGAGAGGTGATGAGAGGCTGGACCATGGCACTGTTTTCTGAGTGAAGAACACAGAGTTGTGTCCAAGAGGTAGCAATGATAAGATTTAGTACCTTTTAGCTATGTGGAGTAAATGAGAATGAGGAGTTAAAGATGACACCAATGTTGTGAAATTGAGACGGGAAGAGTGATGGCACCCTCAATAAAAATAAGGAAATTGAGAAGAACATTGGTTTGGGGGATAAAGATAATAAATTCTGTTTTTCACATAAAGTGTTTGAGTAGTCTATGGGATATCTAGTGCAGGATGTTCAACAGACAGTTGGTGATGTGTGAATGGAGCTCTGGAGCTAGAAAGGAGCTGGTAATCATCAGTACAAAGATAATAATTAAATCCATGGAAGCTGACAACATTACCAAGTGAAAGAGTATAGAGGTAAAAGAGTACACTGGAATACTCTGCACAAAGATTGCTATAATCCCCAGAATTGTTTACATTCTCTAGTACAAAGATTGCTCTGGTGGAGGCCCTTCCCTCCAAGTCCTATCTTGGCCTGCTGCTTCTAGTTACCCAGAGTGGAGTGGGAGGATGTGTATGGAAGCAGCATTTCTCTTTTTCTTTCTCTCTCCTTCTTCCTGCTTTTTCTTATCACTATAGCATGTTGTTCCAGCCCTTAGGTTTTTTTTTAGGCCAGGATGGAACAAGTCTTCCAATATTTTTATACCCTGAAAGATGGAAAAATAAAAACAGAAATCCTGAGTTTTTTTTCTTCTCTCTTGGCTGTCACCACTCTCTCCCTGTACGTCTTTTCTCTTATGCCTTCCTCAGGCTCTCCTAGGTATCAGCCCTATTTTTTACTGTGCCTATCACTTGGCTTAGACACACTGTTTTTCCCCACATCACTCAAATGGAAAAGAGAGCAGGAAGGAGCAAGTGTTCTAGTATAGGCAAAAGGTATGTTCTTACTGTTGTTTTTTTTTTTATTTTTAGCTCCAATTAGGTTAATGTTCCAACTTTCTCTATTTCTTATTTCCAATGAACAGAAAAGCCAAATTGTCTAGTTTTAGGTGATATTTAGATAAGATGGACATATCTCACATTTAAAGACAGTACAGGAAAATTTCATTGTTGAACCACATTTAACCACTTTGTTATATGTCCACTATATATATATATATATATAATATATGTATATATATACACACACATGTTCAACTGCCTGTGAGTACTTAACTTGGTCCTCCTATTCTTGCCAGAGATTTCCTGGGGCTTGAAAAGATTGAAGCGTGATACATTTGTAGGGTGGGGCTCTAATACTGGAAAGTTTTGTGGCATATACATAATTAAGTTAGGAATATGACTAGGTGGTGACCTTGCCTCCCAGGCTTCACTTTTGTTCCTGTACCTTTGCTCTCTTATTCCTTTGCATGAAAGACAAAAAGAATCTGGCAAAGAGGAGTGGATTTGTAGTTAAGGGATTTAAATCCTTCCTTTACTACTTGCTACCTGTATGATAAGCTAGTCATTGGACTTCAGTTCCACATCTATGCAAGAGAGGGGTGGGGTCAGAAAGAGTCAGACAGAACTTAAAATGACTGAACAACAACAAGCTGAGAGATAACT